CCCCCGCGGCCGCTGCCCGCGCCCCGCGGACCCACCAAGGCGCTGGACCCCGAGGCGGCGCGCCGCAGGGAGGAGCTCAACCGCCGGATCTTGGAGACCAGGAAGCAGCTCGAGAACGTAAGTTCTGCCTCCGTGGCGCCACTAACTAACACCGGTTAGTCTGTGTATGTGTCGCTGTGGTCAGCCTCTTATCTTCTCCTTTCCCTACTCGTTTCTTGCCTATAGTAATCTTCTACAAAAACAGACATGACATTAACTATGACCATATTAATGATACCCTCTCTATGGTAGTTTATTGGTTTAATGCTAACAATTTATTGCTTAATGCCAAGAAGACAAAATGTGTTAAATTTGAATTGCCTAACGTAAAATTGTCTAGTCCAAGCATAGAAATAAACGGAGAAAAGTTAGAACTTGTTAATAAAGCAATCTTCTTGGGAGTGACGTTAAATAGTAAATTTCAATGGTTTCCACATATATCTTCCCTGGCCAGCAGATTAAGTTCCGCTGCATACGCAGTCCGTAGAATACGTGAGCTTACCGATGTTAGTACTGCTAGATTAGTTTACTTTAGTTACTTCCATAGTATAATGTCCTACGGGATTCGCATGTGGGGTAAAGCGGCAGATATTCAAACCATATTCGTATTGCAAAAACGAGCGATTATTTCTGTGTACCGTCTAGGCTCTCGGGTTTCTCTCAGAGAAAAGTTTAAGGAGACTAGTATCATGACTATGGCATCACAGTACATTTACTCAAATATTTTATATGCCCGTAAAAATATACATAATTTCAAAAAGAAGATATCCATAATATTAACCTTAGAGCTAAGTCCAAACTCATGGTACCACGGTTTCGTTTAACGAAGGTAAACAACTCTTTTATGGGGAACTGTATACATTTTTACAATAAGATTCCGGAGCATATATTAAGTTTATCATTTCCTAAGTATAAAAACTACATTAAAAATATTTTGATCGAAAAGTATATTACAAAATTGAAGACTACATGTTAGATAAAGATGTATGGAAAGACGACACGGCTCCAGAATCCACACAAATTTCATTCAAAGTACATTTACGTTTATTTGAAATTAGCAATCCTTAGAGTTTCTTGCTCGTTCTTCTGAAGGAAGTCAGCGTAGTGAACGAGCAGTAGCTTAATGTAATGTGTTGTAAATGTGACGTTTTCAAGCATTGACTTACAAATAAATGGACGACGGGTCTAATACAAAAACCACGAAAAAAATGTCCCAAGTCAACCTATTCGAAATTTAAATTATAATGTCATCGCAGTATCGCGCTGTCAGTAGAACAAATGAAGACTAAAGCGGAGTTTGGCGCTCTGTATACGATTTTAGCGCCTTACAAGTGCGGACACTTTTTAGCGCGGACCCGACGTCCATATAATTGTAAGTCAATGTTTTCAAGTGTAAATTTATTTTACCTATGGAATAAATGATCTTTGACTTTGACTTTGACTCTATGCAACACGTTTTATTTTCTCTTTAATAAATATTCGTATATTGTAATGAAAAACGTCTGTTACTACTCAGAAAACGGAAAATAACGTTGCCCGTTTTGAGCAGTCGCGCGGAACCGAATGCTAATGCTCATAAATGAAAGACTTACAAATTAATTTAATTTAAATTAACTTAATTATAGTAGGCACTTATCGCGTAACCTCGAGCGAGTCATGGAAACCTGGTGTAGTTTTAAGGTCGTGAAAACTAGTCCGAGAATGACCGTTGTAATGCAAACTAATATTAGAAATGCGAAAGTAATTCTGTCTATAGCAGACAAAACTGGCAACCCTGCAATAGTAATTTTACTCCGTCTTCAAAAAAACACAGATTATACCTATTTTTTTTTTGTAAAAGTCTGTCTCGGTAAGGGTGCTGAACAGAGGTGATTGGTGATTACTCCACCAACAAGAGTATGGGTCTTAGAAGAAAAAACCATTTACGTTTAATACGACGTACTTCTTGAAGGTTCCTGATTTTTCGTACGTAAGTGGCGCTACCGTATAAGCCGTAAAGCCAATGATCTTATGTATATGTATAAGATCATTGCCCAAAGCTAAATAAGTACGCATTTTTCCCACCAGGTGGCGTTCCGTTCTAACCTAAAATCAAGCCAATCTACTACGGACCTGTCTTACATACCAGAGAAAGATGGCTCTCGCCGCCGTCCTACGTCCATGGCCGTGCCTAGTAATAGACAATATGGTAAGTTTTTATATTTTCATTTTTTATATTGTGTGATATAACGCTTTTTGAAAGATGAAATTAAAATCTTATAACGAAGTACTATGGATACAGTCAGCGTCTACGAAATTAGAGCAATGAAAGTGTTCAAAAATCATCTTTGTCTCTAGTTATTTAACTACCTCCGTGACGGGACTTTTACCATACCGGCCTGTCACGCAGAGGCCCCAGGTTCGATTCCTGGGCCGGGAGAAATATTTGTATGGCCTAAATTTATTTCTCTCGTGAGTTTGGGTGTAATTTGTGGTGTATTACACAGGGTTTCCCTAGTGCGGGTCTTTGTTGAGTGTGTGCGTTATAGTTATGTATAACGTGACCATAAGTTCAGGTTTGAGCGGGACAGTCCCGCTTTTTATTTCGTGTCTCGCTGTCCCTAAATTACTCAAAATATATCGCTTTGACAAAACAGGATAATCGTGCGAAACAAAGTGCGAAAGCTACGTAAGATTAGCTCTTTTTTAATGTTTATTTATTAAACATTTTTAAATCTCTTATCACGAAATATTTTGTAACTATAATAAACATGTGTTTTATTTTAAACAAAACAATAATAAATTTACAGGCGTACCGCTCTTGAGGGAAAGTAATAATGGCCACGTTAGTTATGTAAGCATTTTCGATCGAAAGTAACTCATATGGTGACATGTTTTTGAGCACTTTGAAAACTCTGATCATTGTGATGCTGATTGTACTTTACAATTGTATTAATACGTAATTTAACTTAATGATATTTGATTTCGCCTTATACATGAGGTATTTTGAACTTGAAGATAGAAACTAAAACTTTTTTGTGCCATACTACCGTTGCCATACAAATTAGTAATTTTCACATTCCATTATATCATCGAGTATAGTGCAATTACGCGTAACTAGCATTTGACTAACTAACTCCATGTAATACGCGTAATTATCGTGACAACCAAATTACCGTGATTTACGGAAATGTTGTTATCAGTCCGTAGACGACAACACAAATTAATACTTACTGTGCAAAAATGACAGTCGTAGTCATTGAAATAACAAAGTAATAACGTTAAATCCCTCCCCTGTGGAATTTGGTTTGGTGCAGATACGCACTTTCTTACCAATACTACATACACGGATTTGCACTATCCCTGACGATATAGTATTTTGTTTTTAAAATGGCACTGACATAGTTTGTCGCTTCTATTACTAAGGATATAAGACACCGTTGGCGCTGTCGAACTATCGACTTTATTGCGGTGTTTCCGGTAGAGATGAGTCTTAAAAGGAACATTGCCATGAACTCAAAAGCTAGGCTAGATTTATTGCTAATAAATAAATAAACGACAAACCTCGATCAGAAATCCGATGATACAATATTCATTAATAGGATTTACATTTATAAAAATTCGACATTTATTATTGTATCTTACCACATTCATACAAGGTTTCAAATAGATTATAGCAGCTGCCCCAACTCTTGCATCAAGTTGTGTTGTATATCATTGGAAAGGCTCTGTGACACATTTCATGTTTGTAATTACATTTGCTTAACTGTATGAGCAGTACATTAGACACCTCATTATTTAACCTAAATATGTTGCTGATCGCGCGCGTTGTCGCTCTTACATTTTATGTACATTACACGTGTATGTTTACTGCAATAACGATCTTCGGACAGTATGGTACCTTACATAAGTAGAGCGAATGATTCTCTTGTATTTCTGGATTAGGGCGCCTTGCCATTATGTAGTGACGACAGGTAGTCGTGCAATTTAAAGTGTCGTGGCTTGGATATTTAACCGGAGTTGTTCACATATAATACAACACGATTAACTGTCGTTCACGACTTTTTTGACGTTGTGGGTAGAGCTAGAATGACAGTCGTCAGACGATAAACAAAACGTCACGATAAAAATGTGACGACAGATACTCGCAGCTTCAAACAATTCGGTCGTGCAAACAACAAGGCGCGTGCATAGTGAAAATAGCTACATACGACAGTCGTTTACCGATAAAATAAACATTCACAACTCAGTCACGACAGATAGTCGTGATATGGGAACAGGCTAGATGCGACAGTCAATATCAGATAAATAAAACGTTACGACATAATGGGAACGCGTGCTTAGATAGAAACGATTTTCAACGACGACATTTTTCAACCGCCTAACATCCTGGTGATGCGGTTTCTGATGATCTAATAACATTAAACTCCATGCATTTTCAAATGGACGGGAAAATTTTCATTTTCGAGCTCCATTCACGACAACATGGTCACTTATCATCAAGTAAGATTGTAGTTAAAACCTAGTTTATTATTCTTAGGAAAACAAAATATGCTCGTGTTGTGACCTTACTATAAATATTTAAATAATCAATTGTAAGAATTTTATACAAATCAAAAAATAAATATCTTCAAGTTTTTATACAATTTGCTGAAGCCATTATTGAGACCTTTCCATTGATAAAAACAGAGAGATTATTATGCCTTTTTTATCTTTTGCAGTTATATTTGACAGTTACGCTTGTGGTTCAATGTACGTTTATCCGAGTAATTTAAAAAATATCATCGGATTTCTGATTCGACGTTTAATATGATTGCTGTCAGAAATAAAATTTGAACTTTTTATATCAGGCGTTTCGAAATGGAAGGTGTAGAAAAATAAAGCACCTTTTATTCTATGAAGGAATAAAACTGTTTCCTAAGAATTTAGGACTTTTTTTCGTACAAAAGCCATCTATCCATTTTATACCCAATTTTGAAACGCAAGGTATAAAAGAAACCATTTTGCTAATGTGTGAAATCATCAACACTGCATTTATACACTAATATAATATAATGTATTTATTACTAACCATTTCATTTCCCTACATGCTACCCAGGACCTAACCCCGAAGAGAATCTAGACAGCATAAATTCTAATTACTTTGATAGCCTAAACCCTTACCAAACAAATCTAAATTTAGACTACCGTAATAAAAATCCTTATGCCATACCAGCTAATCTAAATAAGCTCATACCTGAATATTCAGAGAATATAGTGCCTTATGTACCTCCTCATAATATTGATACAGCACAAAATGATAAAAGAAATATGAATTTTACGCATTATGGAGCCAAACCCATTGTTTTCAAAGAACAAAAACCTTTGGCCTTTACTATAGATATGAAACCACAAAGTAAAGTGTTTAATAGACTATTTCCACAAAAAGAAGAGAAAGTTGCAAGAAACTTCAATTTAAACCTTACTAAAACCACTGAAGATAAACCCCAACCCAAACCAAAACCAAGTGCGAGAAGTATATTTAAAAATTACAAATCATGCCCAGTGTCACCTGTATCTGAAGAATGCAAATGGTCTGACAAAGCTCTTAAACGAAATCAAAAACAAGGAACGACAGAATCTAAGAAGAGAAATTCGCTAAGTTTCTTCGTTGGTTTTGATAATAAACTTAAAGATAATGGCAAAAGTATAGTAGATACAATCAAAAGCGATACTGAGAAAATGATTGCGGAAATAACTAAGAAATACGGTGATCTTGACGACTACCAGCCGACGTTACAAAATGACTTAGACTTAGAACCTACTAAAGAAGTAGACGAGAAAGATGATGGGAATTTCTCATCAGATTCTTTAGAAGATTGTAGTTTAAGTCAAGATGCTAGTTGCAAAAATAAACTTTACTCTAAAAAAGTTTGCAAGAAACATAATAAAGCAAAATCGATGCCACGTGCAGTTTCCAACTACGAAATCTATGATACTGACAAACCTACATTACCTATAAAACCTGCCCATATAAGTGGTGAAAAGAGTTCAACGTTGCCCAGGAATATGCCATCGAGTTTAGACGATATTATCGATGAAGATTACAACATGAATCCTCATTATAACATGTATAGATGTCAAAGTGTTTTGACTAAAAGATGCATCACAAGATCCAATGAAAGTGTCCTAAGTGACAATTCAAATTGTTCAAGTGTGTCAAATGAAATTTTTCTGAAATATGGAAACGAAGTTGCCTTTCAACAAGCTAAATTTGATAGCAGATACAATTTCAATGATTCCCATAATTGTTCATTTGAAAATCTAAATGAGCCTGACGAGAATTATTTGGAGAACCATAGACATAGTAGTGCCAGTTTCTTCCTAAACCAGAAACGATATAATAAATCCTGTAGTCAGGAGTCCGTTCTTTCTGACGAAATGTTTTTGGACGAAAATCAACTGTCAAGAACGAATTGTAACTCGCTTGAAAGTGTGTTGTCAGATGATTCGGAATGTACGAAAAGTGCACCATTAGAAATGCTATTTGAAGGCAATAAAGCTAAAAAACAACAAAGACATCCTGTAAACATACCAAGAAATAGTAAAAGTTGCTACGAATTCGACAATACGTCGAAAAGTTACGGCTCCAGTCCAAACAATCCACCCTATTTAGGTGGTTTTATGTATAATAATTATACGGGAGAATCAAGTCCCAAATGTAGAGAGCCGTGTAAAGAACCTTTACCTGTCAGTTTAGTAGCTCCAGTAAATAAAGTGTATGGCTTTGAGATCCCGGTATCCGAGTTTTCGGGTCATAAAACTGTAACCAGATCGAAAAGTCTATACAGCTCGTCGTCTAACCAACAACCGCCTCCTGCCAAGAATATTGCGTATTATTTCGACGGAAATAATATACAGCAGTATACTAAGGATAAGAAGAAAACTGACGAAATACCAAGACTTAACGCAGGAGACTATATGGCTAATACTACCAAGTCGCTGCAACCAAATTTCACAAACAAACTTAAGTATAAAAGTGAAATGGAGGGATGTGAGAAGAACGCTATGGTCAAGTCTAAAAGCTGTAGTTTTGAAGTCGTTTTGGAACCAGCATCCAAACCGAATCCATTAAAGAATTTAATGGAAAAACGTAATTCGCATGTACAAAAGAATCTGGAGAAATTCGAAGAACAAATTCGTAAACACGCTCAACACAAAATGACTAAAAACCATCTTAATAAAGAGAAAGCCAACAGTAACAAGAATAATATAACGAAAAGTCTCGAAAGAGGCTCAGGACACAAAAACAATAATACTAAGGTTATTATGGAGTTTGTTCCGCACAAACCTCCGAAACCCATTAAACGTTCTTCATCAGTCAAAATTAATAATAGACTTAAAGCTGGTAGTGATAAAACCGGCATTAGTACTTCTATATCTTCACAATATAAAGCTAAATTGGATGGACTTCACAACAAAAATTACTTAAACAAAAAACATGAGGATAAAAACTCAAACGTTGAGGACGTAGAGAAAACTTTCGATGTTTTTGTTAAAGAAAAAGATGTGAATGAGAATAAATCGGAAATTGCAATGGATAGTTTAGAAGTGTACGCCATGCAAAGAATGGAGCGTATGAAACAAGTTAGTATGGATTCGTTGGATGTTTTAGAAGATAATAACGATTTTGCTAAAGATTCCTTAGATTATTACGCAGAACAGGATAACAAAAGCTACAAGAGTGCTAAAGAACAATTAAACATGAGAATTTCAAGAGACATTGCTGTGCCTGGTAATAGTAGGTACTTCGATCCCAAAGAAAATGTATCAATAACAGAAGAAATTCGAAAATATAAATATATAGAACGGAAATTGGAAATTATTAATAAATTAGTTGAAATGGAAGAGAGAAAGATATTGCAAGAGAAAATTTTAAAGGAATGGCGTATGAGGCCTTTGAAAGCCAATATAAATGACGGAAGTGGAGTAGTCAAAGTTTTGTCTAGAAAATTTGAAAAGTTAGCCACAAAACAGGCTACAGTACCTAATTTTGCGTCTTTGGCTTTAGATGAGGCAGATACAGACACTGAAAATGAAACCAGTAATAAGGAAATAAAAAGAAATTTAAGTCTACCTGACATACTTGATACAGACCAAATTGGAGATTTAGTTGCAGTTGCCAACTCAGAAACGTCTAATGAAAGTGGCAACGTTCAAAAACCTGTAGAACCAAAATTGAATAATGAAATCCAAAATGAAGTGACACAACTTAAATGCCTAAAACAAAGAGTATACAACGATATGGTTATTCCGAAAACTGATTTACATTTAGATAGCGAAAACTACGAGTCATCAACAACAAGCTCCAGTTGCACTAACTCACCGAAAAGGTTATCATTATACGGCTTTAGCAGACCTAAAATGCCTTTCAGAAAAATCATACGCGTACCAACACCTAGATTGTGTATGGAATATAAAACCAGACCGAATATAGGTACTATAAGAGGAATTCTAGCCAAAAGAATGCCAATACCGACGCCTGTGTTACCATCGAAATTTGCTACACAAGGTTCGGAAACGCATGTCAGAAATATTAGATGTCGTGTTTATTTTTATTAAAAAATCTGTAATATATAAATCTTTTTCGTTATTTTCGCGATCTTTAAATTAGAAATTAGTATAATTTTGTGATACCTTGTGAAGGAGCCATAATTTTACATTTAAGATAAAAAAATATCATTCTTTTTTATTATTTTACAGCACTGGCTGTCTTCACAAATAATCACAAATCGTAGCTTTGTATTGTTTATTTATTGCATTTCATAGTTCATAGCATAAAATGCATGGTTTTTATGAATTTTTGTGTTGTCCGTTTTTGTTTTATTTTTAGAGCATTCGTTATGCTTTTGCAAAATTTATAGTGGCCTGAACATACTTTGAACATTATATAAAACGTATCTAGCCTGCTATTTTCGAAACTCCAAGCTTGGGGCCATAACGTCAACCAATGGCGTTGAGGGCTGCATCGTATTTTTATTATGAACAAACATTTTCAGAAAAGGTAAACAAAATAAGGGCCGGGGCTACAATTACCACTTGCTAACAAAACTGTTTTAGGACTGGGCACTTTTCTGATGAAAATATAAATATAAATATGAAAAATATACGAAAGAGATGGATAGGCCATTCTTGATGGTGTTACACGTTGTCACAGAGTGAAAATGATCCAGTTTAGGTTGGTTTATTGTGAGACTTACACAAAGAACATTAAACAAACATTAAGTCAATACACATCTAATAGGACTTACGATGTGTTTGTTTTCGGTTATTGTTATCAAAAACTTAACATTGTTAATTCTATCTTATTTACATGCCCTTAAAGCTGTCTGTTTTTAATAGTAGTCCATTCCTCATTGGCATTGTCTATTGAGATTTACGGTCTTTCAAATAAAGATGATTTTATGGCGTTATGTTCACACCACTATATCCCAATCCCGCATGTGGCTAACTCATGAATGTTGGTACAGCCAACCGTACGCATCTCTCCCCTGCGGATCAAGAGGAGGAATCTACAGGCATGCGACGAGCTATATCGCTGTCGGATTTGGCTGTTAAACCTACGCCGGCGCCTAGAACGCAAGGTGGGTCAACTGGTGGAGGTTATTTGGGTTGTGTTAGATCGTATTGAGTCAAGGTGGGCATAGTTTGGTTCATTGTAAGTGGTGTTGGCTCTACGTGATCGCTATTTACAATAGCTGGGTGTTATTTAATAAGTGCTACGGGTGCTAACGTTAACGTGGGCGGTTTTTGAGTCAAGTAGATAAACCTATATCCGATAGGTCATTTTAGGCAAAACTTTAGTAATTTCTGGCGATGCTAGGTTTAGATCATGTTTTCCCAAAGTGGCACTGAAGGCCTAGGGGTGCCAGGGGGTACTACCGCATTCGAAAAAAAAACCTGAATTGTGTATATAAATTACGTTATAAATATTTTTTTTCCTTGTGATTTTTTGTGTTAAATTAATATAAAAAGTACGTGTTTTCATTTTTTTTTGTGATCAACACCCACCGGTGTTGAAATTTTTTGTCTTGCCTAAATGAGCCAAAAAGTTTGGTAACGTATGGTTTAGATTATTAATTTTTAGATGATTTTTGTAATAGGTTTTCAATAAGGATTATTTGTCTATTGTTTATGTAGGCTATGTTATGTCAACGTATGCGGTAATTAACTTGAAATTATCATTATTTCAATCTGTGGGCTACATTGGCGTAATTTTGTTATCTACAAGCGCTAATATTAATGTAATTGTTGTTTAAGTCAAAGTGGTATTGCTACCGAGACTAGCCGATAAGTTTATGTCGGCTTAGACCGTAATTAAGGTAGGTCACTTTAGGCACAAATTAGGCGATTGCTGGCGGGCGGTGTTGGGTCTAGATGATCGCTTTTTGTAGTAGGTGGACCCTGTTTAATACGGACAAAACTCTACGTCTACGCCTAGACTACGGCAGTGTTTAGGTAGAGGTGGACGCCATTTTATTATAATTGTGAAAGTTGTATTGCTATCGTACCTATAGGCCTGCCGCTTAACTGAGTATCCTCAGAAAAATCTTGTTGAAATTATCCCGTATGCAGCGCGACATAATTGTTACGTAAACTGTCCCTCTTCCCGCACCCCGCAGCTACCTCAGGAACCGACTCAGTATTAACCTATACCGCTATAGATACAATTTGGGTCATTTTGGTCGGTGTAGGGTCTAGATAATAGCTATTTATAGTAAGGTGATCGTTATTCAATAAGGACTATGGGTTAATGTAAAAAAAATAATTAATATAGACTGTTCTTTCAACGTGGGCGGTAATTATTTCGACCATAATTTTAATCTGTGGGTTTCTTTGATGTAATGTTGTTGTATTATTAATAACATAAAAATATATTTTTATTTAATTGATATTCAAATATTTTTTGTGAAATTACTCCACTAGTTTGTTATAATTATTAATACAAAGATCGAACACATAGAAAGAATTCCTTCGATCCGGCCGGATTCGAACCGGCGTCTTCTAGCTTCTATATATATTTATAAATTAAGAAATGAAATATTAAGGTAAGTGTAAATGAAAATTATTGCTACTAATCCTAATATAAAAAAGCTTTTGCACTGTTGCATGAAATAATGACATTTCTGCATGTTACATTTAACCAGTATTTTCTATGGTAATATTACATTTATCTCTATAAATGTTAATGTGTATTTGCACGAGTAGAAAGAGCATAAAGGCCGTGAAAAAGAACTAAGAAAAACTATGATACTTATTTAACAGTTTTTATTAGTTTTTGATGAAAATTTTATCCCATAGTCTGATATTTATTTGTTGTAAATATTCAGGATTCTAGTTCCATTGTTACGTAAATTACATATTACACTGTGTGCTAGGTAGTTCGAATAGGATTTGGCAGCAGTAAGAAATTAGGAATTAAACATCAACTTGAATATTTATTTTTAAATGTTAGCTGTTGCTATCAAATTATATTTTGTTTATGGTATCAAATAATTTCTTTACACTTTGCAGTAGTTTTACACTATGCACCTTTTCAAGTAATTACACCCTGTATACTTTACAGTGAAGTATTTACAACATGTACACTTTGCAGTCAAGTACTTTACACCCTGTAGACTTTACAGTCCAATACCTTACACTCTGTATATTTTTGTAGTCGAGTACCTACTGTACGCTATGTACACTTTGCAATATAGTACTTTTACACACTGTATTCTTTGCAATAAAGTATCTTTCACACTGTATACTTTGCAACATAGTATCTTACAGATTGCATATATTGCGATTAAGTAAATTATATCTGAATATTCTTTACAGTAGATTCTATTCGTTGTAGTGGCCGAGCTGGTGGATAATATTGTCATAGGGATATATAACCATGTCGGTATTGTATTTCAAGCACTGTTAGCTGTCACGAAAATCATACTTAAATGTATAGGTTAAAGGATATTATATGCTTAACTAACATATTTATAACATAACGTCTACCAATCATTCTCGAAATTAAAACATCACTTAAGTGTTAAGTAGTAACGAACACTTAACTAGTTAACGCCATTGTAAATGGACGAGATTTCGTTAGCAAATTCAACTTGTGTGCAATTCAGCTGCGTAATTTCCGTGAGATTCATTGCAGCGGCTTTACTGGGCTTTCGTTTTCCAGGTCCTCCAAAGCAGGCGTCGCCTCAAAACGGCAATAATGCGAAGTCACCAAATACCTTCGTTCGCCCCCCACCACCTCGGTATAACAATAAGACCAATATGACACGAAGTTCCAGCGTCGGAGTTTTGAATCAGGTTTGTTTATTTATTTTTTATTTTTTTCTCAAACATGTACGGAAATATTTGCATTACTTTCAAAAAACGAACGCGGAAAGCTGCACATTTATGGGCCGTGCGGTTTTGAACGTGCGGCCAAGGCTTGCAAAGTAAGTATAAAAATCTATTACTGTCCGCTTCTCTAAACTTTTGAATCTACCTACTAATCATTATTTGTGTAAATAGGTAATAGAAAAAAACATACAGCCAACTGCTTAATGTTCGTAATTGCCAAAATTAAAAATACATATCTGTAACGCTTACTTAAAAAAAAGAGAAAGGCGGTAAAATAAAGTGCTTGTTATTCATTTATGTTTTTTTTATATTTTTGTCGCGAAAATGAGTTCTAGCGGGAGGAACGATAGCGGCACAAAGTAATGGATTGTATTCCGTCTAATGTAAAACAAGAGGCAATATTAGCCATGATATTATTTTTTTTACTCTGGCCTCTGCAATAATGTACTAAATTATAACGAGCGGCGGCAGCCTATTGGGGTAACCTCTACTTCTCATGAAATTACTCCACTAGTTTGTTATAATTATTAATTACAATCGAACGCAAAGAACTGCCTCGGTGGCCGAACGGTTACCATGCCGGACCGCCACGCAGAGGTCCCAGGTTCGATTCCCGGGCCGAGAGAAATAGTTGTATGGCCTACAATTATTTCTCTCGTGAGTTTGGGTGTAATTTGTGGTTGTCTATGCGTGTGTCCATGGTACCCGCGACACAGGGTTTCCCTAGTGCGGGGCTATGTTGAGTGTGTGCGTTATTTATTTATAATTTATTATTTATAAAAAAAAAATATTTTAATCTGACAGGACTGTCACATGACACACCTGTTTTGCACACAGGCACAAATTATACCCAAATTCACGAGAAAAGTTAATATAGGCCATACAAATGTTTCTCCTCGCTGGGAATCAGACCCGGGACCTCTGCGTGGCAGACCAGTATGGTAACCGTTCGGTCACGTAGGCAGTTAAAGATTGTAGTCTGATTTATAATTGTTTAGCGGTTTGCTGGTTTTTGATGAAATAAATTGTATTGAGTTACCCTTCCTGTGGGGCAAGGGTGTGAGCTTATGTATTGTGGGAGCGTACACGCATTTTACAAGACGCAGATTATAGCGTAGTGAGAGGTACTATTTAATATTAAACGAGGAATATAATCATAATTAAAGATTTACTGTTAGCGGTCACTTAGAAGACTCGTTAAGTACCCCCGATCTTCCTTTGACAACAACCCTCTTTTTTTATCTAGTTCTAAATATAAAACCACCCTCTTATTTTTTGCATAGCTCTAAATATAAAAGAATAACATCTATCTATCCAGCCTGCGCTACAATATGTATGATGAAATAAAAATAATGTTGTCTTAAAAGGTCGACTTCACTGACTCACTGATTCTTAGTGAATTAATTGAGAACCAAAAGTGACGGCGATTTGTTATCTGTAATTAAAATTTTGACTATAAATTGAAATAGGAAATGAAATTATTTTTCCGGATTTAAATCGCGTATATTTGTTTTTTCAAACAAACCGACGTTTCGGGCTCTTTACAGGTCCCATGGTCACGGTTGACTCACGGTTGACATGAGACCTGTAAAGGGACCGAAACGTCGGTTTGTTTGAAAAAACAAATGTACGCGAATTAAATCCGGAAAAATAGTTTCATTTCCTATGTGTAACAATCGCTAAAACCTAAGAACTCGATATAAATTGAAATTCAAAATTCGCCCTTCCCACAGAGCGACTCCGAGTCAGACCCTCAGCCATCCCGCACCCAGCCACGCACCCAGGGCCTGATGCGGCCGACAATCAGCAGCATGAACAAGCAGGCTGCCAATGCGGCCAGGAGACGAGGACTTGCAAATGCCTACAGTGCTGGTAACTTACATATTACATAATAAAATATTCATTTTCATCTTCAATTTCGTATTGTCCGTAAAATTAATTCATCACTTTAAAGTATATTTAACGACATGTTATTTTTTTAATAATTCGGGTATATTACGTATGGCAACTCTACTAAAGCGTAAAAGAGACGTGCCGTTGCCTGTACATGAAGCTTTTGAGAAAGTTATTTTAAAAACTGATTACGCCAATTATCCATTAAAACGGAGATCCAAGTTTGTTAACCTTTTAACTTGTCCTATACACGCGATGTCCCTAACAATTTTGGTAAAAAAATAACTTTTTTTTAATAATTTTAAAGACACCATGTGACTGGGTCTCTAGGACAAGTGACGAATTAACGACCAATAGGATTTATTTATTTTGAAATCTTCCAAACTCTTGATAATATAGGCATTCCATTGGTCGTTGAAACATTCCTCCGCTTTAGTGGATAATGGGGACATGGCTTTAAACCTTCATGCTACTGAATGTCACTGCCACCGCCGTAGCCTTTTAATGTGTAGTTATTTAACTAATTCTGCAATTTACGCTTCTAAAGGGGCTACCGTTATGTTTGTGAATCTCCCGGCATGTTAGATTGAAGCTTTACTGCGATTGTTAATGCACCTGTCATATATGTATACATTGAGTGTATAAACAGAAATATTGTCGAAATATGGGCCATACGTCACTGGCAAGTCATCAGGCAAATGGGCCTTATATCACTTTTAAATATGAACTCTCATTTGCGCTGAAATCACAAATTAGAAAGCTGAAATAGTACAGAGCCAACAACTGACCTGTGTGTTCGTCTCCGTGTATTAAAAACGTATTCTGTATGTATTGTAATAAAGATAATAATATCTATAACTATGGGGGGCTGTTCCATTCGGTGGTGTGGGAAAAACAGTAAAATAATTAATTACAAAAGAAACGGTATCGTATTTCATCGGTAATTAAATATGAAATAAGTAATTTTTCAATTTTCGTCAATTATAGCAAAGCTTAAGTTAAACTGGTCGTTATGAAGTGAAACAATTGACGACATCCGTCAATTGTTTCGAATTCGGGCTGGCCAATCGGAGCAGCAGTAATCGCCGTAATGATTTGGCAGAATAGTTTTCGAACAAATTAAATGACATTTCGTCTCTATTTCTGGTTATGTACTCGATGTATGTATATTATATGCGTCCCTCTAAATTCTCTCTTAAGAAAAGACCCTTGCTCTGTAGTGTGAGTAATGCGAGTACAGCATGATAATCAAAACTATACCATTCATAGTTCAATATTTTGACATAATTAGCAGGAAATACATTATGGTGACAGTTTTATTTTTCTGTCTTCTGTGTCTATAAATGGTAGCCCTCCCACAAAAATAGATTAGATAACGAATGTAACTATCACATATTAACCATTGCACAGTGAACCTAAACACTGGTAACCAAGAGGAGTCGTCTTCGGAAGCCGAAGAACGGACTTCGGAGAAGCCAGCTGTTCCACCGAGGCCCAGAGCGGGCAGTGTGGATCATACTAGAAGAATAGGTAAGTTGTTTTAACGCCAACATGAAACAAGTAGGTTCCAGGTACTTCTTCTTTAGACATGGTAACAAGAAAGTATGGTCGATTTTTAGCGGCGGAAAACAAGCAAACATTGAAAAAATTAAAACAAACAAGTAATCTATTTATTGAGATTTTTTCACAGAAAATTTATAATTGACCAGGTGGGATTTGAATCCACGTCCATGCTGCACGGTAGCATTGTTCTTACCAACTGAGTTACGGGTCAAGTTATCGAGCCATCGAGATTCTCCATGTTTTTTGTTAAAGATTTTTGTACTGGCTTTCGTAATCATACATTCATAATCAGTTGCAGTAGAGCGTCTTGTGTAAGATTTCGTCCAGGGAAGTACTGCCACTTTATCTATTTCTGCCGCCAAGCAGTAATGTCAGCATTACTGTGTTCCGGTTGTGAAGGGTAAGGGTGCTGGTGAAGTTACAGGCACATGGGACTTGTCAACTTATATCTCAGGGAGACGGGCGCAGTGGCAGTGCCCACCAGATCTTAGCGATTTAAGGATCTGAGTGGCACTGTAACTGTTATTGAAAGGCGTGTACTCGTAGCTTACCATCAGGCGCACGACTAGTTTGTTCCGTCACTTGATATTATAAAAAAAATCAGAACAAAAGTAGTGAAGTTATTTCTAAAAAAAAATAAATACATTTGATCCAAAAGCGATATCTGCGTCAGTTGTGATACCTGTAAAGGTATCGCATGCGGTGAGGTTATTCAAAAATCTCTCACTAGATGTCACTAGCCGGCGACGAATGCCGAGAGCCCGTACAAAGATCTATAACAAAAACACAAGATAATTTCAAGGGCTCGGTAACTGGGCCCGGAGCTCAGTTGGTAAGAGCAATGCTACGGTGCAGCATGGACGTGGATTCAAATCTCACCGGATCGACGAAAGTTTTCTGTGGTCCCATTTAAGTTGCAAGAAAATATTCCACCGTTAATGGTGACAAACAAGGGGATGAATTATATACTTTTGAGGTCGTTTTTTTTTAATACTAATACGTATTCTTTTTCATTCTATTTGGAAATATATTCATAATGAACGATTTCACAAGTAAAACACAAAAATTCTTCTGGATAAAGCACAAATTATAAGAAAGCTCCGTCTCGGGATTGCGTTCGCTCGGTCACTACCGACATTACCCTTTAATATATTGTTTGAGGTAACTTTATGACAATACGTTCTCGTTCGCAGGACGCAGTGGTAGCGAACGCGATCTATCAGCAAAAGCGCGGGAAGTTACAGCCAGACTGACGGCCAACACACGGCCTAGGCCGAAAACCGAGACAACAACAGCTGATAACAATTGTAAGTATTTTAACTTCACTCTTAACATGATCACGAAAAAGATATGTATCTTTCTTCTCCTGACTGACTGACGTAGTTACGACAAATAATTTGCAACGTTTTTTCAATACATTTATTGTTTTCTTTTTTAATGTGGCAAGTACAATAAATAATTAATAAATAATTATTAGACATCAACACATACGTTGCGCTGATCCCTAAGTAAGTAACTAAAGTATTTTTGTTATGGAAATAACGACGGTACCACAAAACCCAGACCCGAGACAGTATAGAACTTTTTATATGTTACTTAGTATAATTGATGGTAGAGTTAATTTTTTGGCCATTTCTGACATGATATTCTATATACAGGGCGCGTCACACAGCTTTAGGATACGTATTTTAAATGTTATAGATAGGATATTTTGCTTCATAGAGAAATTATTTTATTTTTCAAAGTCAGTACTACGACATTCCAAGATTTTTAATACTTGCTTTTTTTATAATATCAAGTGAGGGGACGAACAAGTTGTGCGCCTGACGGCAAGCTAAACGTCTGTCCATGGCAATTGCAGTGCCACTCAGAGCTTTAAATCTAAAAAATCTGAGGGGCACTGCCACCCTGAGACATAAGTTGACAAGTCCTATGTGCTAAATCGGAACGCAGTAATGCTCCCATTACTTCTTGGGGGCAGAAACAGGTAATGTGGCAGTACTTTAACGTTCGAATACTTTCGTAAGGAGCTCTACTGCTACTGCTTGCCTCATCTGAGAATCGAACTGACCAAATGTGAAAAAATTGACGTTAATCATTACTTTCAGTGTCAGTGGCTGCTCTAACTGAGCAGTTAACAAAAACCGCCAGTAAAGTGGTACAACTGTACAGAAGTCTGCAGAGAGAGCCGAATGCTGCAGCCGACATCAGCGGTGAGTACTGTTAGAGCAAGTTAGTTAATACTTAATAATTAAATTTTTATTGAATTGATATTCAATTTTTTTTTTGTGAAATTACTCCACTAGTTTGTTATAATTATTAATACAAAGATCGAACACTCAGAAAAAATTCCTTCGATCCGGTCGGATTCGAACCGACGTCTTCTTGCATACCGTGCCAGACGCTATACCAACTAAGCCACGGAACGAACCAACGGACCTCACGAATTCTTCTATGTGCTTGCGTCGTGTCTTTGTACTTGGTCTTTCAACGACTTTTTAGTTGTAGCGCCATCTATGAGAAATCTATTACAGATTTATCACCCAGTTAGTACCTTTACAGCTACCAGTCCTGGCGAGAGATGTCGCTATTCATTTTATTATATAATACTTAATATATTTATATATTATATTTTCTAATACTTAATAATTTATTTATTTCATAAAATTACACAGTAAAACTCCATTCCAATAAATAGACAATTTATATTGTCAATTCATAGAAGACAGACGTTCATCCATCCTCTCACAAAACCTCAAACATGCATCACACATCATTATCATTTACATCAAGGACGATACCGCCTCCACACCTTGCTCTTAGTTAGGACTTTTTAACGATCTCTAGCTGTAGTTAAGGAAATGAGTATTAGTTATTTATTTACGGGAAAGCAAAGATGATGCCATCGAGTATAGAACTACAAATAGAGACGAAATAACGGCCATTCACCTCTGGCAACTCATCAGGCAAATGGGCCGTATATCACTTTTAAATATCAACTCTCGTTTGCGCTGGAATCTGAAATTAGAAAGCGGAAATAGTACAGCGCCAACAACTGACCTATGTGTCTCCGTATATTCCAAAAATATTATGTATTTATTGTAACAAAGATAATATGTCTAACGATGAGGGGTGTTCCGTTCGGTGGTGTGGGAAGAACAGCAAAACACCTAATTACAAAACAAACGGAATCACATTTCATCGGTAATTAAGTATGTATTTTTTCAATTTTCGTCCATTATAGCAATGCTCAAGTTAAACTGGTCGATTTGAAGTGAAACAATTGACGACACCCGTCAATTGTTTCGAATTCTGGCTGAGCAATCGGAGCGCAGTTACCGACGTAATGATTTGGCAGAATAGTTTTCAAACCAATTAAATTACATTTCGTCTCTATTTCTGGTTATATACTCATCATACATACACAACAAAAGTATCATATTTATTGTCTAACATACCAAGTTATGCAGATGCAAGAGTGTATGAAAATGAATTATTCAATTATAACAATTTATTATTATTATTTAAATAAATTGAAAACAAATAACGTACAAATTGAAACGAATATACAGTTTGTTATATGCTGTCATGTCATTAGTGTTAGGCAAATGGCGTATATGATTGCCATTTAAGTTATTTTTCGAATCTATTTTATTACTTTCCCAAGAATTGTTTTAATAATTTCGTAATTTTATTAATGAGTAAATCCTCGTTGAGCATTAAAGTGATGAACTCATTATCATAAGTACAGACTTAAGATTTTTAAAATTAATACGTGCTTTTATGTATTGTATCGAATTACAAATAGTATTTGACTAAGGCTGTTTCTTAATGTCTGATCTAGCTACGCTAAACTAAATTGCGAAAATAATAATAATAATAACGCACACACTCAATATAGCCCCGCACTAAGGAAACCCTGTGTCACGGGTGCCATGGACACACAAATAGACATCCACAAATTACACCCAAACTCACGAGAGAAATAAATGTAGGCCATACAAATATTACTCCCGGCCCGGGAATCGAACCTGGAACCTCTGCGTGGCAGTCCGGCATGATAACCGTTCGGCCACGGAGGCAGTTAAAATACTAATCATCCAGACCAAAGATGTTTTGGCGAAACATATTGCAGCGCCATCTATTACTACAAAATTGAACTACGAAGTTCAAAGCTGTCATATAACATCAACGTATGTGTTTCATTGATCCAGGTTTAGAAGCGGCGATCGTGGAGACGCAGAAGGTTCTGCGCAGCGCCGTGGAGCAGTCGAACGGCGACGCGCCCAGCAGCCTCTCCTCCGAAGGGGACATGCTCAACGCCAGGCTGCGACTCGAGCACTTAGTCAGTAAAGGTGAATAGAGATGGACCACAAAGTCCCTGAACGCACGGGTTGCCTCATCCGCCACAATATTACAAAAAAAGTTTTGCAATCTAAATAACTTAAACCGCCTCTAGACAACATAAAATTTAAAAGTATCGTCATCAAAACGATGTATACTAAAAATAACAGTTAAATATGTCTTAAATCTTTACAAAAATACTACCTATAAACATTATTATAGAGTCCGCCTTTTAAACTGAAATTATTGTTTTTTTTTTATAATACCAAGTGACGGGACTAACAAGTCGTGAGCCTGATGTTAAGCTATACGCCTGTTCATAACAGTTGCAGTGCCACTCAGAGCTTTAAATCGCAAAGATCTGAGGGGCACTGCCACTGCGTCCATCACCTTGAGACATAAGTTGACAAGTCCCAGTGCCAGCATTACTGTTTGGCGGCAGAAATAGGTAAGGTGGCAGTACTTCCCTGGACGAACTCTTTTACAAGGAGCTCTACTGCTGCTACTGATTTCGTTTCTCTGATCACAGATATGTTAATAATTCAATTTTGTAAAAAAAATCGATTATTATTATAAGGAGGGCAAAACTTTGCTTAAATCAATTTTTAAAAAACTTTCTATGACAAATGAATGCAAGGATCGAACACACAGATAAATTATCGTCGACTCGGTGGGACTTGAATCCACGTCCGTGCTGCACTGTAGCCATTGCCCTTACCAACTGAGCTACGGGTCCAGTTACCTAGCCGTTGAAATTCTCTTGTGTTTTTTTTTTTATATAGATCTTTGTTTTTGGCTCTCGGCATTCGTCGCCGCTAGTGACATCTAGTGCGAGATTTTTTAATAACCTTCTCAGCGCAGCCGATGCCGGGTCTACAAAAATTTTTCTGTGTGTTCGTTCCTAAAAAAATGTTAATAAAATCGTAGTTTACGTAATTTACAAGAACCAACCTTTTACAAGAAAATCAACCTTGAACCACATAGCGATTAGACCTAATATCGGAAACTAAACTAATCAGCCGGACTTTTGAAAAAAAAGAAACACTGCATTATTTTGGAGATTTTACTAGTATCCTACTGAATAACTGTCTCCGTGGCAGAACGGTTACCGTGCTGGAATGCCACACAGAGGTTCCGGGTTCGATTCCCGGGTCGGGAAAAATATTTGTATAGCCTACACGACGGCCTCCGTGGTCGAGTGGCTTGCACACCGGTTTTCATAGTGTCGCCATCTCTGAGGTCCCGGGTTCGATCCCCGGCCGGGCCAGTGTAGAAAACTTTTCAATATTGTCTCGGGTCTGGGCGTTTGTGATACCGTCGTTGTTTCCGATTTCCATAACACAAATACTTTAGCTACTTACGTTCGGATCAGAGCAACGTATGTGGTGTTGTCTAATATTTATTTATTTATCTCGTGATTTTGATTGTAATTTGCGATTGTCTATGTATATGTCCATGAGACCCGCGATCCACGATTTCTCTAGTGTGGGGCTTTAAAAAAAATAAAAATATGCCGGTCACGTGACTCGATTGAAGCAATAATAACTTCTGTTTGTCCACAGAATCCAACGCTAACAATCCAGCAATGTCCCTAATAGAGCAATATTCTGATATACTTTTGAATATGATGCAAAGCAAAATGGTTTCCCAATTCGCCAACAGCCCCCAAAGTCTACCACCTACCACGAGAGAACCTGGGGGAGAAAGCTAGTATTCGCTATAGACTATGTCATTAAGTAAAGTCAAGATAAGCTGGCATCAGAAGCTGTTGTGTCACTTTATCTCCAACCAATGGACATCAAACAATGCCAGGATTATCCCAGATGGTATATTATAACGTACGAGGATATTTTTAACTCTGTGTATTCGTTTTAGGCTTCTAACTTTTGATAGAACTACTTTAAGATCCCAGGAACGCCTTTGAGTTCTGTACATTGTTGTAAAAATTATATGAATGCCTGCACAATTTATGAATGCAATAACAATTTTGTGTGTGTTGTTATTTTGTTTAATATTCAACTAGGAGTTTTTAAAAGTTTTAAGTCATCATTCTAATAGATATATAATCTAATAGATATAGAATAATTTTTACGCGTGTTTATGATTATTTTACCCAATTACGCTGAAGATAAAAAAGGTGATGTTTTTAAGCAAGTGCGTACGTATCTTACCATATACAGTTTTTACTTCAAACCGGTATAGATAAATGAGGTGTTCATAGGCTTATTGTAATCCCGGAGGTGACATAGGATACATGACGTCATGATAAAACCAATATAGGGGACTCCAAAGGCATCTTTTGTGTGATTGGATTTTTTTGAACAGATCTAATAATTATATTACGAAATGTTCAAATTGGAGACTTCTTAATTACTCGATGTCATGTAACGTCATATTGCAACGTTTACACCGAAAATGAGTTTTGTAATTTCGGCGCTTTCCACTTTGTGATTGGTAGATATGGATAACGCCGAAATTACGTAGCTGAATTTTAATAACTGTGGCGCTTTATTCGTTGACCAATATATGCTATGACACTGTCGTATTACGTCTATGGCTTCCATTTTTAAAAAGAGTTTGCCTTATAAATCTTTCGTATATTAACTTTTTTATCTAAAAAAACCGATTTCAAAGCTTCGTGGAATGACATCTATTTGCCAAGTTTTGTTGAAATCTTTTTAACAAAAAAGGAACCATTAAAATCGGTTTACAAATGCCGTAATCACGTAACATATACCAAAAAATTACTGTCGAATTGAGAACTCCTCCTGTTTTGAAGTCGGTTAAAAAACATACTAAAGCCATATCGAGTTGAATATTAACATTGAAAGAAAGTGACAATAGAAAATACTCGGCGCCTAAGTTACGGCGCAGTGTGGGGCGGGAGATACGTTGCCTTCCCGCTTTGTCATTCTGACGTCGTCCCTGTTAGTGGTTATGTTTTTATCTTGTGTGATAATGTCATCTTGATTAAACGGATCGACACTTGAGCATGCTGTACATATACAGGTACTTTCAAAAGCTTATTTTCTTCAATCTATAATTTTTAATTATTTTCTAATCCCAACGGTCTTCAGTCATTATCGTGCTTCTTCTTTCTCTCGCGTGATAGTACAAATAATATACGGCTAGCAGAGTCAGTGACGTAGTGACAGATGGAAGCTAAAAGATAGCCCCATCCGTGCCACTGTCTTTACAGACCTTGTTTACAGAGAGGCTTTTAGTTAGATAGTCCATTGGCAGTGAGAATTTATGTTTTTGCTATGGCGTTATTTTTAATTTAGCAACGCCATCTGTTGACGAATAAGACGCACTAATTTTCCAGCTTTCGAGAGTTCCACTAAACATAGACACAAAATAAAAATAAACTTAATTAGATTTTGGGTTCCGGCCATCGATTTAAACTGCTGAAGGAAGTGAAAAAGTATATTAGGTTATAAGGTGTTTTAATAATTGAAGGATTTTTAGTGAAATTGGTAGTGTGGATTTAGCGGTAAAGAATGTTCCAAATTTTAAAATACGCGGGAAGTTTTGACATTTTATTATTTTAGTTTTACGGTTTTGGATACGCTGTATTAAGCTGACAATTAAGAATTATGTTGCCACGTAATTAATATGGTAGTAAATATTAGTTAACGTGTTATTATTGTAAAATAAATGTGAAAAGACATTGTGAAACTCTGATTTTATTCGAATATAAAATTTTAAGTTTTACAAAGCACGATTTTTGGGAATTATTTGTGGTTTTAAATTAAAGAAATTTTGATAGTTGAAATAAATAAATATGTAGTTTAAATAATATATCGAATGGCAATAATAGAGTTTTTTATTTAAAAATAACTAATTCTTGAAATAACATCTATTTAACAATAACGAATTGAAATCAGAGTTTTTTTATAAATAAATTGTGATTTTTCGACTGCCATCTTTTAAAAGTATTCCATTTATACTAATGCATTTAAGACACGTCATTCCATTTTTAAAAATACGTTTTTCATAAAACGTTTAACGTTAATACTACTTAGATGTGTTTTCTTTAAAAAAAAAATAATGTTCTATTTGTAAACAACCGATCGGAAGGCGGTTTAAAATTTGTTATGATCCTCTATCTTATCTGTGGTATGATGGGTGTTGCCATTGTGCAAATGGTGTTCTATAGTCTGTTCCAATACATTTTGGACGAAATGTAAACAAAACGATTTGGTTGAATTTTTGAAGTAATCACTCAAGAAATCTAATAAGTAACATTTTTACGTGTTTATCGACGTTCTTGACTGGATATCATGACTTTTTTCATTTGAATAACATCGTAAAATCGTATTTGAAAAATGGTAGTAAAAAAGGAAGACATATATGAATAGTCTATGGTTGCATAGTGCTGTAAGGAAAAAACATTGAGTTCATTCAATTAAAGTTTTTGTAATCAATTAGTAAATCAAAAATTTTGAATACGCTTTTATAGGTTATGTAATGAAAACTGCTAGTATGACTTAATTAAACAAATCGATTCATTCAATTGATTGATTTGTAGTTGGCAGTGAAATTGGCCATCACTAAACCATCTATGGTTGGGTTACTTCGTTGTTTAAAATGAATTGAAACTAAGTATAGTAGCCATAGTAATTGACGGACCATTCGTTACTTTCCTGTTTTTAGATATCACAAGATAAGTTGATGGCATGCCTACGTTTACTATGCCAATTCCGTTAAAGTAAATTCACATTGACGGAATATCGTGCATAGACTCTTCTTCAATGTGAGATGAGCCTTTCTTTCTTTGTAAGATGGACCACACATAGATATTAAATAAAAGTGGCCTTGTCGTATCGATATTAATTGGTGTGCACTGAAATACTTGCCATCATGGTTAAAGGATTTGTCAATCAGCGTATGATATTCGCCGATTGTTGCCCAGGTTGCGCCAGAGCCACAAGAAAAGAATGGTACGTTGCCTCTATCAAGTATATAACCAGAAATAGAGACGAAATGTCATTTAATTTGTTTGAAAACTATTCTGCCAAATCATTATGGTGACGACTGCGCTCCGATTGGTCAGCTCGAATTCGAAACAATTGAGCTATGCTATAATGGACGAAAACTGATAAATTACATATTTAATGTATAATAATTAATAACATGTGATTCCGTTTGTTTTGTAATTAGATGTTTTATTGTTTTTCCCCACACCATCGAATGGAACAGCCCCCCTTTGTTAGAGATATTATCTTTATTACAACAAATACATAATGTTGGCGGAATATACGGAGACGTACACACAGGTCAGTTTTTGGCGCTGTACTATTTCAGCTTTCTAATTTGTGATTTGAGCGCAAACGAGAGTTAATATTTAAAAGTTACATAAGGCCCATTTACGTTATGAGTTGCCAGCGATGGATTTATTTTATTATTTCTTCTTTCGCTCTTATTTCGTCTCTATTTCTGGTTATATACTCGAAGGTTGCGTCGTACGGGGAAGCGCCTTTCGTGCATCATAATAAAAAATGACCATTTTATGTTAAGGAGAAAATTAACCAATCATGTTTTATGTTTTCACGGACAATGCTTGATTATTACAACGCTAGATTTAAAGATATTGTCCATGGCTTCGAATTTAAAAATAATATTAATATATATATGAAAAATCGTTTTGGTCACTGGTAGTCGTGTTTTTGGCGCCATCTATAACCTCGTAAACTCTAGTGTGTGGTCTGTCATAATGATATTTAACCCCATTAAAAAAATAATCTCTTTCAAGGATTTGTAACTTTAAACAAAATGTGATCAGGAAATTGTAAATATGCTATTGTACAATATTGTTCTCCATTTGCTTGAGATATCATTAAGTATTATTTGTCAACATAGAAATAATTTCTGTCAAAAATTGTCATTTGACTTTGTTGAGTTAATAATGCTCAGTGTAAATAACCCGCAAACATAAGGGTCATACACATAGCGACCGAATGGTCACACTGTCAAACTGTCAAAAAACAGATATCATTTTGACATTTTTGACATTCGTCAGTCGCCTTCTAGTGACATTTCTATAAGTCGTATTAATAAAATGCAATTTTTAATTATCACTCTTGATAAGGAGCAATTTTTTTTTAATTGTATATATATTTGATAGAAGATCTGTGGTGACATTCATTTACCAATAACGTTAGTAAAAATAACGATTAAGTGTAACGGTTAACGTCCTTCAGTGTTATTTTAGTCTATAAGTGTTTACTTTTTTTCATATCTGTCACAATTTAATATAAATAATTAAGTAAAAAACAATTAATAAAAGCCTGTAAGGAGACGTATGAATGTTGTGTTTGGTTTTTGGGAAACGTTAGAAATATAAAGTGTGAGTTGTGTTTTTGGACTGTGGCCACGATGTGAATATGTTAAAATTCACTATTTTATAGTCCAAAAGCAACTCGTCTCGTAATAATATTTTAAATAACTTGAAAATTAACGTCCTGCGTAATATTAAAAAAAGATGTGGCTGTATCTTTGTTAACACTAGCCAATATTTTTGACAATCCCCAAAATGCGCGCCAAATTTTATTTATCATGTAGATTTTTGACGTCATTTTTTTTAAAACGTAACTGATGGTGTTTTTTTGAAATGAATTTCAATGTATTATTTAAAGGTACCTGTAATAAAATATAAATCTTAGAATAGTAACTAAATACTAACTTCAATACTTACTACATTTTTTTAGCGAAATGTAGTAAGATCTGAATGGTTAAAAATGATACGATATTATGCAGAATCTCCTTCTTTTGCACTTGGTTAAAAACGCCATCTGTTACCATAGTTCATGCGCGTTAAGAATTCTTTAGAGAACTGATGAATTGCATAGGTTCAAGTTATAAACTTATTATCATTCAAAATATAAGTATTTATTCCATACGACGATTTTAGTTATTACACTACGTATTGTCAGTTTCTCTGACAAAAACGAGTAGGGATTGCTCTTTGTAAATAGATATTATTTAAAAAGACTAAACGAGGCATTCCTATGGATTTCGTCTATTCTTCATGATCTTGGAAGAAAATCGCTGGAAGTTAATCCAGTAGTTTTCTCTTTCTCGCACGTTCTAAAGTGATATGAGAGAAAGAGATACAATTCCAGCATAACATTATAAAAAACCCATTCGATATCTCTATAGAATTCTTACAAACTTGTGAACTACGAGATCGTCCAACTTATTTGCAATTGTGGTCAGTGTTGTCAACTAAAATAAATCGCTATACAGAAAGTTCAAAATCGCTTTACGCCGCTAAAACTGTATGTAATATAATATGAATCGACTTTCATGTCACTAAATATAAGATTCATATAATTGGCAAGACCTTTTTCGTCATAGCACAGACAAAAGACCAAATCTAAAATAAGAAATAGAGTAGCGCGTTCACAAATTCAGCTAAAATAAAGACATTGAGGTAATTAAAATAATTTCATTCATATTAATATAAAATAATTGAATGTCATGATATTCAATTAACTTAATATTCATTCGTTCAATTAAATCAGAGTTAAATGTTAAAAAAATAAACCTAATTAAATAGGCGCCAAAAAAGCCGATATTTTTTGTCGCCTAATCTAGTGACAAAGTCGCT